GGCGACCAGCCACTCTCCGCGGACCAGACCACACTTCCTAGACACTCACTTCCGAGAGAGTCTCCCCAGACACGCCCCAGAACACCGCGGGTACATCGCAGACGCCAGAATCGTGCTATCCAGCGCTGGCTCGCCAGGTCAAGCAGCGCTCCTTTCTCGCGCTCGCCGCCCGGAAGCTTCCGCGACCCTTCCCTGACGCTTCTCGGAACACTCCTCCTCGCCAGGTGAAGCAGCGCTTCTCGTGCGCGTGGAACTGCTACTACTGCCCGTCCGAGCCGGGGCAGCCAAAGTCGTACTTGCACGACGAGCCCGCCGTCAAGCGCGCCAACGAGAACGGTCCCGACCCTGTGTGATGCATCTCCACAGCTGCTGCTGCTCCGCGACAGACGCCCGTCTGTCTTCTTCTCTGCAGGCTTCGACCCCGTGATGCAGCTGACCGACCGCGCCGCCACTCTCGCCCAGAACGGCCACCCCGTCGACAAGATCGAGCTGGCTGTGAACAGCGTCTCTTCACACCTCTAGCTGTGAATAGGCCACCCCGTCGACAAGATCGAGCTGGCTGTGAACAGCGTCTCTTCACACCTCTAGCTGTGAATAGGCCACCCCGTCGACAAGATCGAGCTAGTGGGCCGTGAACAGCGTCTCTTCACACCTCTAGCTGTGAATAGGCCACCCCGTCGACAAGATCGAGCTGGCCGTGAACAGCGTCTCTTCACACCTCTAGCTGTGAATAGGCCACCCCGTCGACAAGATCGAGCTAGTGGGCCGTGAACAGCGTCTCTTCACACCTCTAGCTGTGAATAGGCCACCCCGTCGACAAGATCGAGCTCCTCGTGCTGGGCGGCACTTGGTCCTCCTACCCGCACGTCTACCAGGAGCGAGATATGGGGGAGATATGGGGGAGATATGGGGGAGATATGGGCGGCACTTGGTCCTCCTACCCGCACGTCTACCAGGAGCGAGATATGGGGGAGATATGGGGGAGATATGGGGGAGATATGGGCGGCACTTGGTCCTCCTATCCGCACGTGTACCAGGAGCGAGATATGGGGGAGATATGGGGGAGATATGGGGGAGATATGGGCGGCACTTGGTCCTCCTACCCGCACGTCTACCAGGAGCGAGATATGGGGGAGATATGGGGGAGATATGGGGGAGATATGGGCGGCACTTGGTCCTCCTACCCGCACGTCTACCAGGAGCGAGATATGGGGGAGATATGGGGGAGATATGGGGGAGATATGGGCGGCACTTGGTCCTCCTACCCGCACGTCTACCAGGAGCGAGATATGGGGGAGATATGGGGGAGATATGGGGGAGATATGGGCGGCACTTGGTCCTCCTATCCGCACGTGTACCAGGAGCGAGATATGGGGGAGATATGGGGGAGATATGGGGGAGATATGGGCGGCACTTGGTCCTCCTACCCGCACGTCTACCAGCAGCGAGGTGCGCGACCGCTCACATCTCCCCATCTCTCCCCCACCCCTCCCCCACACCTCCCCGTACCAGGAGGAGTTTGTGCGCGACCTCTTCTACGCCGCTAACACGTTTTGGCAGCGCGAGAAGCGGCCTCGGCGCGGCCCTTGTCAAGGAGGAAGGAGTCCTGTCGGGCAGCTCTGTTGACCGTACCAGTTGTCTCTGCCAGGAGGGGGCTGCTGGAGGAGCAGGCACTCAACGAGACCGCCGCCTGCAAGATCATCGGCCTCACGCTCGAGACGAGGCCGGACACGTCCACGACATGTCCACGACATGTCCGAGACACGCCCCATAGGCCTCACGCTCGAGACGCGGCCGGACATGTCCACGACATGTCCACGACATGTCCGAGACACGCCCCATAGGCCTCACGCTCGAGACGCGGCCGGACATGTCCACGACATGTCCACGACATGTCCGAGACACGCCCCATAGGCCTCACGCTCGAGACGCGGCCGGACATGTCCACGACATGTCCACGACATGTCCGAGACACGCCCCATAGGCCTCACGCTCGAGACGCGGCCGGACATGTCCACGACATGTCCACGACATGTCCGAGACACGCCCCATAGGCCTCACGCTCGAGACGCGGCCGGACATGTCCACGACATGTCCACGACATGTCCGAGACACGCCCCATAGGCCTCACGCTCGAGACGCGGCCGGACATGTCCACGACATGTCCACGACATGTCCGAGACACGCCCCATAGGCCTCACGCTCGAGACGCGGCCGGACATGTCCACGACATGTCCACGACATGTCCGAGACACGCCCCATAGGCCTCACGCTCGAGACGCGGCCGGACATGTCCACGACATGTCCACGACATGTCCGAGACACGCCCCATAGGCCTCACGCTCGAGACGCGGCCGGACACCATCGACGCGGCGGAGCTGCTGCGCCTCCGCCGGCGCGGTCGCCTAGAAGCGTAGTACGTATGTCGACCGTACTCCGCTGTAGTCACTGCACTCCCCCCCCTCGTACCCACGCGGTGCTCTGAATACATTACATTGCACAAGATCGCCTGTCCGCCCCCGGAGGCTGGCGGCTCCCAGCACGTAGGTATGGGTGATCTCCCCCATATCTCCCCATATCTCCCCATATCTCCCCATATCTCCAGCACGTGGGCGAGGGTGATCTCCCCCATATCTCCCCATATCTCCCCATATCTCCCCATATCTCCAGCACGTGGGCGAGGGTGATCTTCCCCATATCTCCCCATATCTCCCCATATCTCCCCCATATCTCCAGCACGTAGGTACGGGTGCACGCGCGTGCAGCTCGGAGTGCAGCACACCGACGACCACGTGCGCAAGCGGATCAACCCCATATCTCCCCATATCTCCCCATGTCTCCCCACATCTCCCCACATCTCCCCACATCTCCCCACATCTCCCCATATCTCCTCATATCTCCTCATATCTCCCCATATCTCCTCATATCTCCTCATATCTCCCCACATCTCCCCACATCTCCCCACATCTCCCCACATCTCCCCATATCTCCTCATATCTCCCCACATCTCCCCATATCTCCCGACATCTCCCCACATCTCCCCACATCTCCCCATATCTCCCCACATCTCCCCGGCCAGGTGCTCAAGCGGATCAACCGCGGCTGCACGACGGCAGACACGGTGACGGCCCTGAAGCGGCTCAAGGACGCCTGCTACAAGATCGACATCCACCTGATGCCAAACTTGCCCGGCGCGACCGCAGCGGTGGACCGCGCCATGTTCGAGCGCGTGCTGAGTGACCCGCAGCTGCAGGCCGACCAGTGGAAGGTCTACCCGACCCAGGCGTGGTGCCGTGGACCGTCATCAAGCGAGATCACGGGCGAGATTAGCCGAGACTGTGCCGACCCAGGTGGTGCCGTGGACCGTCATCAAGCGCTGGTTTGAGGCGGGCAGCTACGTGCCGTATGCGAGCGACCAGATGTTTGAGCTCCTCATGCAGGTCCATTTGTTACTATTATTATTATTATTATGAATAATAATAATTATGTTCGAGCTCCTCAAGTCGCCTTATTATCATTATTATTATCATTATTATTGTTGTTATTATTATCATTATTATTATCATTATTATTGTTGTTATTATTATCATTATTATTATCCTCATGCAGGTCAAGTCGCGCGTGCACCCTTGGATCCGGCGCTACCCGCCTGGTGCGGCGCGAGGCGGCGCTGTGCACGGCGTCTCTTCACACCTGCGGCTGTGCACAGGCTCAACCGCGTGGTTCGAGACATCCCCATGCAGTACGTGTCTGGCGGGTCCGCCGGTCTAGAAGCGGAAGCTTCGTACTCTTGGCTCTCCCCGCCAGTGCTCGAGAGGACACGGATTCAGCCGTGCCCGTACCGCACTCCGCTGTACTCGCTGTTTTCGTGGCCCCTCGTCCTCACGCGGTGCTCTGAAGACGCTGCACAGCGCCGTAGTCGTTGGCTCGACGCCCCCCCCTATCTCCGCCCTATCTCCCCCTATCTCCGCCATATCTCCCCCATATCTCCCCCATATCTCCCCCATATCTCCCCCGTATCTCCCCCGTATCTCCCCCATATCTCCCCATATCTCCCCCATATCTCCCCCGTATCTCCCCCGTATCTCCCCCATATCTCCCCCATATCTCCCCCATATCTCCCCACGGAGGCTCGACGTCCCGAACTTGCGCGAGGACTTGCTCGCAGAGATGAGGGACAAGGGGCTCACTTGCCGCTGCATCCGATGCCGCGAGCCAGGCGCCGCCTCGAAGAAGCGGCTGCCACCGCGGCCGCCCCCCGCCCGAGGTGACCCGAGATTGCGCGAGATCAGGCGCCGCCTCGAAGAAGGTGCTGCCAAGGCAGACGCTCGTGCGGCGCGTCTACGCGGCGTCGGGCGGCGCGGAGCACTTCGTCTCCATCGAGTCCGCCGACCGCGCCACCCTCCTCGGCTTCGTGCGGCTGCGGCTGCCGCCGCCCTGGAGCGACGCGCCGGAGCACCAGCCGCCGTTCGAGGAGCTGCGCGGAGCAGCGCTGGTGCGCGAGAATTGCACGTGCGCGGGCGGGCTCTCGCGGGCTCTCGCCGGGACGTGTCTCGGACATGTCCTCGTTAGGTGCGGGAGCTGCACGTGTACGGGCAGCTCATCGCCACCGCCGACAAGAGCAACGCCGACGCGCAGCACACCGGCCTCGGTCGCACGCTCATGGCCGAGGCGGAGGCGACCGCGCGCGCACACGGCTTCCGGCGAGTCTGGCCCAGATGCGGAGGGTAGACCCACATCTCCCCGTATCTCCCC